CTAGTAAAAAAAAAAATAAAAAATAAAACAATTACTAAAAATTTTAAAAAAGTTAAATATTATTATTTTAATATTTTTGAGTTTATTAATATTTTGACTTAAGTAATTACTATATATCTTAAATAATAAATACATAAACAAACTTTTTAAAATAAAGTGATTTAATAGTATTAATATAATGAATTATATCATTTATGTTAATAGAACAAGGGATTTTAACTGATTTTTTTAATTTATTTTTTGATCTATTGATGAATTGTCTGATTATTCTCAAGAGAATAATTATTGTCAATATTGATGTGCTGATAAAAATAAAAATAAAATAAAATAAATAAATGATTTCTTATTTGATCATGATCTTATAGTTAATTATTATTTATAGTAAATAGAATCAACCTCCATAGTTGTCTTTCAAAGTTATAATCATATCATATTTATTCTGATTAAAGAAATAAAATACGGTAATGCCATATACGAGATGCGAATATACTGTAAGGAAAAAAAAAAAAAATCTAATATCACATTTATTTGTATATGATCTGGTTCTCAGGAGTCTTACAGTAATAACCTAAGAACCCGGTATATATATATCACACTTGAACGAGGTCCTTATGAAATAATTAATTGGACAGAGTTACAGAGTCGAAAGTAATGTTCCATGCTATTATTAGGATTCTAAAAAAATGCATTTCTTCTATGGGTTTCAAAAAAAAAATCCATTACTATAGACTAATCGATTAATCTTAATATTTACAAACTTTTGAAGACAAGGGACAATAGTTCTTCATAATGCAAAAAAAGTCAGTATATTACAGTACAAATTAAAAAAGAACAAAAAAAAAAGTATATAGATACAAAAAAAGAAATGTTGGTAGGCATGAGAAATCGGCTAAATTCTAGATCAAAAGAAAGTCAACGTGTTTTCCTCTAAAAAAAATGTCTTTTGTACAATTAAATCCATTCATTAATGTGTTTATCATCATGGAGTAATTCTATCACACTATCACTGGGAGTTTCCACCTCATTGTCACCATCAGGAGAAAAGAAGAAGTTTCCATCTTCACATGCATCCTCCTTTTCGTTATCCATACTTTTAGAGAAATCTAGATCATCGCTATAGGTTTTTTCAGAAGATAAGGAGGATGATGAAATTGAGCGAGTGAATGGAAGATGTATAACCGCGGAATCACTTGCTGTCGTGGAGGAAGAAAGTGGTGAGAAACCAACAGGAATGTTATTTTTGATGCTATTATGCTTAAGTGACTTTGAAGATGGGAGGGAAGGTTGAGACTGAGAAGAGGCCGTGTTAGGAATATTATTCGCGATGTGGATATGGTATGCATCCTCAAAGGACAAGGGCGTTATTGCTATAAAAAAAAGAATACATCGATCAATTCAATATTTACAAGAAAATTAAAACTTACAAAAAGTTGACTTACCCATATCACTGGCTGTTGAATGGATATTATACCCATTGGTGAATCCGTTAGACATGCGATCTCTAGATTTTGTACTAATTGCAGAAAGCGTCGGACTGGGGGGCACGAAATCCAGGGATGTACGCATTGCCGTTGATAAATTTTCTATTGTGCAACAATGAGCATTAAAATTCGTGACAAAAATGTAAAACAAAACATTAACATTTGTGTAAAGTCAAAAAAGGTCAACCAAAGATTCATACCGGATATGTCTCCCATTCCTTTACCAATGGCTTTACCGGCCGGAACGAGAACAGCTTTAGTCTTACTAACATTGTGACTATTGACATTTTCTTTATTGTCGATCCATCCATCGATCCCCTTCCCTTCGTCAACAAACTCAACCCTTTCCACGACATCTCTTCGTATTTCAATCTTCTTTGAACGTGGGGTCTCCCCTTTAATCAATGCATTTTTATAACCCGGTAAAAATGTTTGAAAAGTGAATTGAGGGGTGACCCATAAAGGTGGAGGCAACGAAGTTTTGGAACTGGTATGAGTTTCGATTTCCGCATTAGCCAGCCACTTGTTGCTACTATCTCTATTGACTAAAGTTTCGCCGTCAGAAAATTTTTGCGATTCAATGACAGTCTTTACTTCGTCACAGGAGGCATTACGCATAACCTGCCATTCAGCGACGTCCTCATAGTTAATCACCATGTCCAATGAGCCAGCTTCCTTTTTAACAGCACCGGTGATTCCACCGACCACCCCGGCCGCACCACCTACTATAACTCTACCTACATTAGCAACGGCTGCGGCACTTCCGGCTAATGGTGTGCCGGCCATGCTAATTAAATTTTTATTGTTTATTTCCTCCTTTCCCTGACGAGACGTCTGTTCGCCCACTACCACACCTTCCATCCAAACTCGATGTAGCGTCAATATTCCGGAAGGATGAAAACTCAATATATCCTGGCAGCCAATATCATCCGTTTTCGAATCCTGTTCTACATCAAGGTAATCAGATCGAGAAGGGTTATTTACACCAGCAATAGAATTTTGCGACCACGATCGAGTCCTTCGGCGAACAGCTAATCCTAAATTAGAAGAGCCAGTTGAACCAGCTCCTTCAATATTAATCGAGGGGGAGGATCTCCTCTTGGCCTGTCTTTTGGCATATAAATCTGGTGTCAAAAGTCCGTTGCCTGAGTTTAATCCGGATTTGGAAGTATTGGGCAAAGAAGGGAGGAATTTGACACAAATTCCGGGGGACTTTCGTAAACAAAATATGGGAAGCGTTGGGTGCAGCGAACCATTCACATGGTGCGAGTGGTAATTTGTTGAATTGTTATGATAAGCTAATTGACTGGATCGACGTGACTGATCATTAGTAGTAGGTGCATTATTCTCCGGAGGATAAGAATAATAATCGTGTACATTAGGATATATATTTGACCCTTGTGACAAGGAAGCATCATTTGAGTCAGGTAATGGAGTGCGAGGCTTAATTCGCACAACAGGAGACTGGGTGGTGGTGTTACACTGAAATATGAAATGGATAGATTCATTAGTGTTTGCTGTTTACGCCAAACTAGATCTAAATCTCGAACCTACCGGTTCATCAACATTTTTAACCCAGCCTGAGATGTGGGAAGGTACATGAGCTGGACCGCCATAAGGATTGACCGCAAACACGTGAACTGTCCCACGCCCGCTTGCGACCGCGCACCATCTCGAATCCCTACTCCAACCGACACCTCCTTCACTTACGATGGCGTCGGTGTATCCCCTAGAAAGCTTATACACGTGTCTCAACTTGTTATTACCGCTTCGACGTTTTCCGAGAATCTCGAATACGTGAAATTGGTGACCTTGAACTGAAGTCGAAAACAAAAATTTTCCCGACGGATTAAATGACAAATGACCAACAGGATGTGTGTGAGGGGCGAAATGTGCAACGACGGGAGGTTGATGTTTTTGAACGCTGCATGAAGTACCGAGATCGCGAATGATGATCTGTGATGGGAATACAAGCGAGTTCAAGTAAGAGGTTTTACAAGATGGAAAGAATAACGTTAGTACTAACCGCACCCACAGCACCATTCTCTTTATCACTTTCAAAACCATTGTTCCCAACGGTTAAACCATTACCACTTTCCCCGCTACTACTGGAAACGCTCCCCACTCTCGAATTGTAGTAAAAACCGTTTGATGGACTAGGTTGTGGCGAAAACGAACCGCGAGAATTTGGACTCATGGCACCGGTGTGATTCTGAATATTTATGGGCATAGTCGATTGCGTTTTGACGGCTAAACTCTGAGATGAATTCGCAAAATACGATGATAGCGTTTGAAATCCGAGATCCCCTACAGAATGAATAAGTAGGCGAATGAATAGACATGAAATTTCAAAGGTAATTACGTTAATAGCTTATGCAAGATATTAACTTACCTAAAAGTTTAACACCATTAACGACCTCCTTTGCCACTCCTTTGGCCACTTCCTGATACTTGCCAGTTGTTCCAACCATACCATCGCCATCACCTGTCGTATAACTATCCTTCTTAATCTCGGGAGGGTGGCTCGTCGTCGCATAAGCCAACAATCGCGAACCTAGCGCAAAAACTGGAATCCTCACAGAAGAATTGATTGCGACATCTTGCAATGGGGAAGGGAACAGTGGCACCAACGTTAAAGGCGATATGATATGAAGTCTTGCCGGATTGACTAGACTCTGCAGATATAATGCAGGAGTTGAGTATACGGAAAGATTTGAAATGGAGGAAATTTTGAACCTCGCAAAAAAATTTCGCATTACCCACCACAACAATAGCACGTTCATTACAATTTACGCCAACAATGGTACCCTCATTCTCAAAGTCCAGTTGCTTTACGATTTGATGCGTTTTCAGTGAATAAAATTTCAAGACGGCCTTCGGTTTTACGAACGAATCCTGCTGACCGTTTTCTCGCGGTGAAGTCGGTATACAACTGCATTATGAATTCGATTTTAAGCAGTTGATCGGCGGATAATCAAATTTGAAAGTATGATTTTCACGTTGCAGATATTGAATAAGCTTACACTACGCCAACTAGCGGACGAACCTCTGCATACTTGTCGCGGGCATCTTTTGATGTATTCCGTGGAATGGGTATTACCTATTAACGAGTTAACTTGAGTCACAGGATATCGATCGAATGAGGAAATACTTGAATATTACCTTTATGCACGTGACCTGACCAATTTTATCTTCATTCCTTATGGAGACGAGTTCATGAATGTTATCTAGACTCGATACGTTCCATATTTGAAATCCGTCGGGGTAGCCCAACACAAGAACAGATTGGCTGTTTAAGAGAAGAAGGTAAAACACGTTGAGAGTGCATTCGACGTGACGCGCAAAGAGATTCCAATTATTTCTCAGATCGAGTCGAATACCTTATCGGGCCGCTACTGTTGACAGAATTGACTAATATGATCTCATCGAATGCGGAGTACACGATTACGTCTTTTTTTTTCTCAAAAGGTCCATCAGACACCTGGTGCAATGGCGAATCAGCATCACCGGAAAACTGATGCGATATATAATCGGCATGATAATTTATCGAAGGGTGGGGGTCGGTTATGGTAGCTTTACGCAGGGAGACGAGGGAGGTAGGAAGATAAGAGGATAAGCCATATAGGGCGGAAGAAATGGATTCCAAAGTGGAAGGGTCTCTGCGAAAGAAGAGGTCGGAAATGGTCATCTCGACCAGTTCGGTTGCAAGCAGTTGTCAGAAACTGAAACATACCTCAAAAACTTTGGTTCAGCCTTGATGCCATTTGAATGAGGAAGGGAGGACATTATTCTATTTTCGTTTGACTGCTTAAAATTAATTTTCGGTTATTAAATTGATTTCGATATAAGTTGGAGGAATGTTGAGGAGAAACAAGCGAGCGGACAATAATAGATAAGATATACAGTATATATTTGTATGATTTTAATGTAAGAATAAACAAGAAGTCGAGCGGTTTTTCGTTCTATAATTATAAAGAAAGACTTTATCGAGCAATAGGTTTGGTGTTAAGGTAGCGGTGTGACTAACAATGTAGGTATAAACACGGTAGAAGAACAGTATATCCGCTACATATATACGATAAATCAATTAAGTGACGTCTATATGCGGATAAAACGAGTCATCGGTGAGTCATCACTGAAAAATTGTGTCGGTAATTCGAAATATACAGCACGCAGTGCCGGAAAACATGCAACTCTTCTGCGCACCTATGTACATATATATTAACCGGGGAAAGGATCGTTTAACAAGTTTACGAAACATGCGGCTGTATCCAGTAAACAACAAGAGTCATAACGTCAGGATTTTCGTTATCTGTCACGAGAACCTTCAGAATACATAGTTAATCTAACTTTACTGGCACTATATTTACATTTATATATATTAAAACTTCTATAAATAGACAGATATACTCGAGAACACAATAGACAAGGTATCCTTATTAGAATTGCGCGCCAATACTTTTGCACTTTCCTCGCTGTGCAGTTATCCATTAGTGAACATATCATATATATTTTGCGCACAGCGTTACACCAACCCAATGTGTCATAAGATTCCTAGTGGAAAATTATAAAAAGTTATGGTTTTCAGATGATTATTTGTTTTGACCTTACATTTTCTATTTTGTTACATTTTCGTAGAAATTAATAATCAACTCTATAAAATTTTGCTTGTATAAGATTGGACAGGATTGTCGTCATCGTGTTAATCGAGGATTTATTAAACAAAAATTTGGCTTTATTGGAGATGGATCGATATTAAGATGGATCTTCATTCCTGGGTCACATGACTTAAAATATAAAAATCGATTTTCAAAAAAAAAAAATTTTTTTTTTTTTTTTTCTCAGCGAAATGGGCAAACGGAATCGGACAAGCTTATTACCAAACAACCTCCCTCAGCTCCAAAATTTAATAAAACGGGATCCTCTTTCGTACAGGGAGGATTTCCTACAACAGTACCGACACTTTGAATCGCAATTGACCATTTTTCAGCTGAAACCGGACGAAGAGGAGGAAGAATTTGGTAATTTAATCACTTTTATCTCACAGGTAATTCATTCTCGTTCGCAAATCTATCCGATTGGCATATCTAATCTATTATTATAGCGATCCTGTCTAATCATTAATCAAACTCGGCTGCTTATCTAACTAATCGAATATAGGTGGCCCAGTGTTATCCAAGAGAAACCCATGACTTTCCTCAGCAATTGATGAATTTACTTTCCGAACATCATCAAATATTAAATCCCAACCTTCGAAAAACCATGGTACAAGGCCTTATATTACTTCGTAATAAAGATTTAATACCGAGTATCACGTAAATGAATGGATTTCCTTTATTCTTATAACCTTGTGGATTATTTTTTCTTTCTTTAACATCATAACATCATTGCAAATTAAAAAAAGATTGTTGTCCTTATTTTATACGTTATTCCGAGTACGCGATAAACAACTTCGCGATATGATCTACTCGCATATAGTTTCCGACATAAAAAACTCCAATGCTAAACACAAAAACAACAAACTCAACAAAACCTTACAAGGCTTCATGTACACGATCCTTCAGACCACCAATAATAATGATTCGCCTGAGAATGGAGTGGTTGCCAAGAGAAGTTTGGATGTCTGTATTGAATTGTATAGAAAAGGGATATGGTGAGTGATGATGATGGCCATATGTCTTCATTAATTGATATTTCGAATAAACAATGAAAGAATGAATTTCGTGACTTGGACTTTATTCAAATTTATTAAATAGGCATTCTTCTGTTCGCTAGGAACGACGCCAAAACCGTTAACGTTATAGCGGAAGCATGTTTCCATTCTGTAACAAAGATAAAAGTATCTGCTATACAATTTTTCCTGGGATCCAATCAGGAGAATTATGATGAATATAGTGACGACGAAGAGGTTTGGATTCTAAAGGATTTATTTTATAAGTGCGATTTATAATTAATTGGCTCAAATTTTTGAATTAAAATTTTCAATTATTCTTGTTGATCCAAGATAAATCTTCCAGACATAAAAAGATTGAAACACATAAATCTCATAAATAAAAGGAAAAAGTCAAAGTTAAGGAAGTTAGAAAAGGCGATGGCGACAATTAAGAAAAAGGATAAAAAAAAACACAAAGCCGAAAGATTTAATTTTTCAGCATTTCATCTATTAAATGACCCTCAAGGTTAGCTGGAGACATCCCTTTTTTTATATTCTTCCTCTTTAACGAATGGTGAAATCTTCATATCAAACGATTTCCTAAATAAAGGGTTCTCCGAAAGACTATTCTCTTCGCTTCAGAAATCAATCAACACGGATCGATTCGAAGTAAAACTGATGACCATGAATCTCATCTCTCGAATAGTCGGTGTTCACAAACTGATATTACTAAGTTTCTACAGCTATCTGATTCGTTACATACAACCTCATCAACGTGATGTGACTATGGTACTGGCCATCCTAGCTCAGGCTAGTCATGAACTGGTACCGCCAGATGTGTTGGAGCCGGTGGTGAAAGCTATTGCGAATAATTTTGTCACCGAGCATTGCGCCGGGGAAGTCATGGCAGCAGGGTACGAAAAAACGGCTTCAATGCTTGTGAAAAGAGAAATACGGTATTTAACGTTCTCATTCATTTATCCAGTTTAAACGCCATAAGAGAAATTTGCGTTCGCCAACCATTGGCAATTGATGCTACTCTGTTGCAAGATCTGACCGAGTATCGTTCGGATAAGGATAAAAGTGTGATGATGGCCGCAAGGTCACTGATTGGATTGTTTAGAGAAATTAATCCGGAAATGTTGAATAGGAAAGACAGGGTAAGTTACGAATACTCGGAAAAAAGTTCGTTTGAAAGTTTATAGGCTCATCTTTTTTGGAATTATTTACAGGGTAAAATTGCAAGTACGAAGATGAATGATATTAAGCCATTGAAATTTGGTCAATTACGCGTCACCGAACAAATCGAGGGAATCGAGTTGTTGGAGGAATATAAAAAAAAGAATGTGCAAAGAGAAGACATAGAGAATGGTAATGACCACGATTGCCAATTTGATAGATTATTATTACAATTATTCTATTACAAATCCTATTATCTTTATTATTATAGAATGGGTAGGATGGGAGGTGGCTTCGAATACTTCGTCTGATGACGACGAAGATTGGATTAATGTTTCTTCAGACGATGACAGGGATCTCGTTATTCGTGATTATAGCGATGACGAGCAAAATGATGTTTCAGATGATGTGAAAATCGACGAAGAAAAGAAAAATTCAACATTGGCTACGACCGAAGTAAAAAAAAAAAAATTATTATTATTGGCAATACTTGCTTATGCAGATTATTAATGAGCGATGGTACTAATTCTCTGGTTCATCAAAAATAGCTTCTTACCCCGGCAGATTTCGCCAAGTTGAATGAACTTAAAACGGAACGCGAGGCCGAAATAATGGTTAATGGTGGTAAACGCAAGAGGAATATGTTGTGCGTGTTTCTTTTCATTGCCTCTGCAATATAGATATGCACCATTATTTATTTTTAATCATTTTTATTAAACATAAAGTCAGCAGGAACCCTCAGACATTGTCAATGTCAATGAAATTACGGGCCCTCGTAAGAAAGCTAAACAAGATTACGAAGAACGTGTCGAATCCATAAAGACTGGTAGAGAAGGTCGTGATAAATACGGGGGTCCCAAGAAAGGCAAGAAAATTGAGGGTTCGAGCACTACCAACAAAGAAAAGGCTAGAAACAAAGCTTTTATGATGGTAATACACAAAAAGAACAAGATGAGTAAAAAGAAAATAAGTCTAAGAGATAAACAGGTATACATTGTATCAAGTTTGCTGACTATTGAAAAAGGTAATTTCCGAAATAATGACTTTACCTTTTTTTTCTAGAACCAATTGATGAAAAATGGTAACAAAAAAAAGTCGAAAAAATAATACACTTTATAATAGATATTGACGCGTTAAATAAGTATAGATCATTGTTCTTGTATACTTTCGGGGGTGATACCTAACAGCATGCAATAAATTTCGATTGAAGAGCGATTCCTATGAATTTAGGGATGCAACTTTTAGAGTGCTTCAAATAATCAAGAATTCCCGAATGACCATTGCTTACATACCATCTACACAGATTCTGCAACTTTTTATCACTTAATTTTGAAAAAACATGTGCTGCTTTTGCTTCGTAATGTTCGCGGTCTTTATCGAGTTGCTCATTTTCTTTTTCCAAATTATCGCATTCAAATTTTAGGTCGGAAATTTCGGATTTGCATTCTTGAATTTCCAAGTTGATTTTTTGCAGGGCGATCGTCTTAAGACAAAAGATGGTAATATGAGAAATGATGATTACGCGAGACACGAGTAATTGCATACTTGTCCGTTTAATATCTGTTTCGCCTCTTCTACTGTAATTCCCTTTTTATTTTTTGGCACTTGAGTGTTCATCGTTTGAATAGTTTACACGCGAAGACCAAAAGCGTGTCCCGTTACACGGATCATGTTTTATTTATTAAAAATTTTTAATATATTTTTAATAAAAAGTGAAAAAAATTTTTCTTTTATATAAAAAAATATTTTTGCTAATAAGATAAAAAAATATTTTTTAAGATATAAAAAATTCTTTTCTAATATTAAAATATAATTGATAAATATATATATATATATTTTTGTAACATCTAGTCAAATTAAACTAACATAATATATAGTTAAACATTATATCAAGTTTAATTAACTCATTAAAAGTATAAGTTTGATTTAAAAATAATATTTTATTCTTTTTTTCTTTTTTTTTTAAAAATAGCAACTCAATCTTGTTTTATTAAAGTTTCAAGTTGTGACAAATAAATGCATATACAAGAAATGGTTACTAATAAAACACCCCTAGAATTATCTGTAAGTAGTTAAAATTTTACACTACTACTATTACTTTGATTCCATAAGCCAGTTACTCTTCGAGAGTTTCATCAGTTAAGGGTGTACTGCCTGTTCCTTAGTTACTTTCAATATCTCCATGTTGTGAAATTCTAACTACTCCAATCCATGGGATGGCTAGTTATCAGGGAGAATTACTTGGAACAATCTAATTCACGTACCAAGAAAGAAGATTTATCAATCCTCCTAAATTCCCTTTAACTAACATGCTCAGATGAAACGCATTATCCCAAAAAAAAAATTTAATCCCTTATGTTTTGCCTATCATATAACTCAACTTTATTACAGGAACTTTGTTTTGAATCTTTATCTATTCGGTAGAGCTAAAAAAGAAACCTACTCAATAGTCAAGAGTGGATGACTACAACCATAAAACCCAGTTATAGTATCTTGTGACCTTTACCATAATCAGATGGATTCTTTCTTAAAGAAACCAATGATGTAAATGAAGAAGTATCCTATATTCACCCACACTATTGCAATGACTCATGGTGAATCCCAGGTTCTTATAGAGCTGAGAAAATGTATTCAGATATATGAAGTGATCAATGAAAGCTTATTTATATTCTTTTACTAATATGTGCTCTATCTGTCCAATTACAGTGTAAGAAGTTTTGTGCTACTCAAAATTCAGGGTCAAACTGAGATAGGCAAAATCCTCCAGAAAAAACCAAGAACAAGCACTATGAGAAGTAAACATAATGACAAGAGAGTGGGAGAGTTGTCTCTTATCATCTACAGACTTCTGTAGTATTTCTCTACAGTATGAGATGATGGCACATCAGTTCTTCTTTCTTTTGGAACTTTCTTGCCTTTGGTAGGAAAGGTATTGCTTGACTTTCTGGTCACTAGCAGTCGAGTTTTTGTTCAAAGGGAGGTAATAACAAGAAGGAAGGGAAGTGGTGATAACTCTTGAAGTTTTATCAAGTTGGTTTAAGGAAAGTTTTAAGACTTTATTAATATAGAAGTATGAAAACTTCTTGTAACGTCTTTTTTGTGTGTGGTCAGAGGATCAGTGGAAAGAGTTGTTTTTAAAAAGAAGTTATAATAATAAAAACTTTTTTATTAATTTTTAAATTATTTATAAAAAATATTTATTCAAAAGTTTATTTTTTTGAAAATTATAACTGATATTAAATATATACTCTTTATTAGATAATTAAATTTTATAGTATATCTTTAATTTTTTTTTTTTTTTGACTGGCTCAGCCTTGTTTTATTATTTTTTCAAATTATATTTATACAGGATCTATGCAATACAGGAATGTATATTCAGTAATAGTAAAACTCGATAAGTTATGTGCTACCTCACAGCCTGTTGCTCTTCCTTTTGAAGGAAGAAACTAATATACCAAGGCTATACTAGTTGTCATGTAGAAAGATAAAATAGAGATGATGTTAGTTTGGTATTTTATATATTCATTATTATATCTATTTACTATTCCGGTTAGGTTTAGAAGATATTATTGTATTGTAATCAGATCTGTGTAATGTGTGGTTGTTTGTGCCTTACTCGTTTTATATTTTTGATGCTTGATGGATCTTTGGAGTTTCTTTGGATCATAAATTTCTTCACATCGGTTTGTCCATACAATATATCATATAATAACTCTTTCCATTCTCTCATTATGTTTATGACTAATTCTATCATTCTGTTATCATTGGTTATGATTGAGTTAAGTGTCTTTGGTATTTCTTTTAGTACCACCTCTCAGATAAGAAGTTTGAAGGTTCTGGGGTTAACTAGCTATATTTATCTATATATGACCTCCTTGAAGCTCTTTTTGTGTTCTTTGTTGATGTATGTTGATGCATGTTTGATGAGGATCCTGTAGAAGTTTCTCCTTAATGTCTTGATGTTGTTGCTATATAGAAATAGATGTGTGGTATCCTTGACTTCCCTGTATTTATGACATTTGATCTCCTTGTAGATTAGTGAATATCTGTTGTATAGCTTGGTCCTAATTGAAAACTCTTCATATCAGAGATTGAAGCTAAATTTTCTCATATGGTGATCTCTATGTGAGGTTACATGTCTGTTCATTTTAGATGTAAGTATACTGTTGAATTTATACTTTCAGTAGATGTTTCTATAGTCTTCGTCTTTGAAGCTATTTTGTGTTTTATTCAGTAATTTTCATTTGATCAGCCTGATGGCCTTATTGACTTGTTTCACTAGTTCTTTGTATGGTATATCTATTTGTGTTGTGTCCCAGGTTATGTTTATTGGTGCTAATCCTCTATGCAGTCATTTTATATTAATAATTTTCCAGTTAGGTTTTGTGTCTAGGGAGATGGGATCGATCCTAGCTAGTCTGTCAGCTTTCTCATTAATAGGAATGTCATGTATGCCCACAGACTTAATTTGTAATTTTTATTAATTGAAACTGTTATGTTATTATAAATGAGTTGTTTTATATATATATTATAGTAAATCATATCTATATAGATAGCTATATATATATTTAACTAATGTTATGTATCACCATTATCAGTCCAATCCCAAACTGGAAGCCTGCATGATTCTGTCTTAATTATTCCTAGAACAATTTTTTATTAAAAGTATTTTAGTTATCAGACCATCGAATTCAATATTCTGGATCCCAGTTTTTGATTCTTTGAAGTGGTCCACGGATTTTTTTTCCCATCAAGGCCTTCTGATAGTCAAATCTGTGAAAGTCAGCATAGCCACATACATAAGGACTGGGACTGGCTTATTATAGAAGAGTCCTTTTTTTGTGCACGAGTTTTTGTATGAAGCCATTTGTGTCTCTAGACAAGTTGTGTTTTTGTTTTGATTCTGAGAGGCATGCTACCAGTTTGGGGATCTACTCTTCTTGCTACTATTTCTGATAACATGATTGTGTCAATGATAATTCTATCTAATTCAGATTACAACCTGATCACAATCTAGATATAGATTGGATGCTATATTTAGAAACATCAGTTAGTTTACGGTTATGCCAATAGACAGATTCAATTCCTCATATTGGTTTTTGTTTTTGGGTGGAATTGAAACTGGATCTTGTGATCTAACCTATGGAGTGTTAACCATTGCACTATTGATCCATAGGTTTAGTATATCTTCAATAATTTTATATAATCTATATATTTATATATATATATACAATTTGATGATAATCTATTGTAATTGATTTTAGTTAAACCTACTATCACTTCTTAAGTAGGAAAACATAACTAGAAATTAAATAATTAATACACAATTATTAATAATATAACTAGACTAGTTAATATTGAGCTTATAAATTTTTATATTTTATTAAGCTAGTTCTTTTTATATATACCTGACAAAAGTTATTATATTCTCCAATATTCCTAAATATTATTTATTCAGACCTTGGAAAAAAACACTTTATTTTTTTTATTATTACTTATGATATTAGATCAATCTTTATTAATTGATTTTTATTTAAATAGAGTATTAGATTGAAATATCCTGAGTTATAAAAATAAGTTCTAGAGTTTATTAAATTAAAGAATCTTGATAATATTTATAATAAATTAAACTAGATGCATTTTTTTAAAGTTCTCTGTCAGGTTAGATATATATACTTTATTAAACATTTTGTATACTTTATATTAAAAATGTGCCAATAAAGTTAAATCTCTATTTAATTCACTTGTCATTATTTTGAAATTTATCAAAACTTTAAGTGTAACTTCAGGAGTGATTTATTATTCCATTAATAGTTTAGATAAAATCCTTCCAACGTTAACTTTATTGCCTACAAGTCACTATTGCAAATTAAACTAGAAACCTTTCTTTATAGAATTTTTTTAGTAATATAATTATAAATTTTAGTCTCTGATTAATAAAAAATTAGAAGCTTTATCTTTATGTTATCTAATTTGATTTAAGCTTGTTTCAAATAATTGAATATAACTTTTACAAGATAACTAATAAATATAATTAGAAAATAATTTTTGATTTTGATCTTTAAATGATATTGAACTATAGATCTTATGATTGCAATTTGGAAATATTATCTCTATGTTATTGATCCACAAGTTTTTACTTAAAAGTTTATTGATTTTTTAAATTTTTAATATATTTTTTAAGATATTTACAACTCTTTTCGCTGATTCTCTGACCACACACAAAAAAGACATTCCCAAGAAGTTTCAATATTTCTTTGCTAATAAAGTTAAAGGAACTCAAACAATCTAGATTAACAGGGAAACAAGATTGTGTCTCATCTGCAGCTCACCAGAACACAATATGCACATATACCCAGACAAATCTGAATCCGCTCCCCCAAGACAATACACCAATAGGTTCAACAATCCAGAATTTCACCACAACTATAATATAGAACAAACTTCAATCCTGGCATTACCAGAAACCCATGAACAAATGAAGACACTAGAAGCTATGCAAGCATCCTGAAATACGGACAAAGCCCCAATACTAAT